TTCACATGCCCATCCACTGCAGCTTCCCAATTTACCTGCTTGTTAATCCCGAGCTCTTCCTTTAAACCAAAATCTAAAAATAAATATTATTTGTAAGGGGTGAGTACTAAGCTCTGTAGAAAAATTCTCTCAAACTTGGACAAGGTTTTAAAAACATATTAAACAAGTCGGTCTCATTTCACAAATATCATATATAAATTTTGAAAGAAAATAATGACAGGTCATCCGATCTCAAGTTTAAGTAATATCAATAAATTAAAAGAAGAGATAAAACCAATTTCCAACAATAAGCCATTTCCAATCATAAACCATTTTCACAACAACAAACACTACCCATGACTTGTACCTTTTTAAACAATGTATATCAAATCACAACTTGTATCTCAGGTATAATGTATGACATCGCATGAATAAACATATCGAGAATATCCTGTCCCACACACAGACACCCAATCCTCGCTAGGATATCAAACTTTAGGAAGGGTGTATACCAACGCATTGATAGTGGCGAATCCAATCTAGGAATAGTATACTAACCCTCATCCTTGATACGCATGAGCGAATAGTGCTTTGGTCCTCACAAGGCACAAACTCCACTACGAGTGGTAGAAAAAAATTCAAACCCGCACGAAGTAAAAAATGCATCTACCTACTTTACGATACCCGGTCAACGGCCACCCATGGTCATCCAAACATTCACAAGAGATACAATTTCCAATAAATTTCTCAAATAACAAGTAAAATCCAAAATTCCCAAATTTCACATGTAGTATTTTCATAGAACAAGTTAAGAAAATAAGCAAGAGATCATCCACAATACCATTTTATTGTTTAATACAAAGAACTAAAGTTTTGAAATCAAGGACAAAGAAAAAATCAAGAGAAAATTCATTTATCTTGAAAACTAGGGTTCTAAGACAAGAAAAAAAAAATTTGATAGCTTTTCCACCATAGCTTCCCTCAAAACATGGGAATCTTTGCAAAAATATCAAGGAGTAAGGATTTCATAGCATATATATATGATTGAGAGTAAAAAAAATACATATATGTAAGTCATAGCTTCAATGAATAAGAGTGGGAAGAAACCCCTACCTTGAATCAAAAGTTCCAAGCAAAATTCCAAGCTCTAGAGACTTTCTTCCTCCCTTTTCTTTTTTCCTTTATCTTCTCCTAGGGTTCTATGTGGTTTTGGGTGAGAGTGGAGTGAAAGAATGGAAGAGAATGGGATGAAAATGGTGTTTTAAAGCCAGCCCAATTCTGAATTTTACTGTTCATAGGGCCAAAAATTACATTTTTATCCGAAATTACGGTTTTACCATTAAATATCTTCAATTTGATTTCTATGACTACCATAAAATTTTTAGATGTTTCGGATTCATTTTTAATGTTTTTATAACCTAAAAATATTTAATTTTATGATTTATCTTTATTCTAAAGTATATTTACACTCGAAACACTAAAATTACTATTTATTCCTCCAAACTACTATTAATGAAGGTTTTAAATCGATTGACCCTTCCGAGGTCCAACACACCATCCTGGGTACTTTATTATTGTCCATTTATAACATTTGAAGGAAGGACTACACAGTCCCAAAACTTGACAAAACAGTTTTAAAATTTTTTATTTTTAGAAAGAGTACCGGTACACGGTACCGGTACGGTATGCTCTTTGGACAACATGGTACTGGTACACTGTACCGGTATAGTTTGTCCGGATTAGCCTGTTTCAGCTATTTTTCATTTCCAATTCATTTCAAACCCTTCCAAAACCAACTCAAACCAACCCAAACTTATACAACATATATTTGTATATAAAACATAGTTGGTACAAATTCTACTACAAACGATTTCACATATTTACCAGGGTTTTGTAATATTAGTATTTCTAAAAAGAAATGATTACTTGCTATATAAAGATAAAAGTGTGGGGGGGGGGGAAGTTTACAATCCACCCCCCTGAAAGAAAGTTTCGTCCTCGAAACTTACCTCAAGTAGCGAACAAATGAGGGTATTTCTCGCGTATCTTCAGCTTTGGTTTCCAAGTAGCTTCTTCCACCCCATAATGTTGCCACAAGACTTTCACTAGTTGAATGAATTTATTGCAAAGCACCTTCTCCTTGGTATCTAGAATCTCCATTGGTTGTTCTTCATATGTTGCCCCATCTTGTATTTCTATACCCTCCAAATCTAGGACATGCGTTGTATCCGATTGACACTTTCTCAACATTGACATGGAACTCGTCATGTACTCTTGACAACTGAGTTGGTAACCGAAGTTGATACGCCAGTTTACCCACCGCTTTGATCACTTCGAATGGTCCGATATACCTTGGAGCTAATTTTTCTCTCTTGCCGAATCTAAGCACTCCCTTTTTGGGTGACACCTTGAGGAACACATAGTCCCCATCTTGGAATTCTAAGGGTCTTCTTCTTTTATCCACATAGCTTCTATGTCTACTTTGAGCCATGCGTTGTCTTTCGTGGATGAGTTGAATTTTCTCCGTAGTCTCCCGAATAATTTTTGGCTCAAACAAGCTACTCTCGCCAGCTTTTAACCAACAAATTGGGGACCTACATGGTCTTCCAAACAATGCCTCATAAGGAGCCATTCCAATGCTTGCCTGATAGCTATTGTTATATGCAAATTTCACCAACGACAAATGATTACTCAAACTTCCCTTGAAGTCCAACATGTAAGCTCGTAACATATCCTCCAAAATTTGTATTACCCTCTTAGATTGATTATCCGTTTAGGGATGAAAGGCGGTGCTAAAGTATAACTCTGTTTCCATAGCTCATTGTAGACTTTGCCAAAATTGGGCCACGAAACGAAAATCACGATCCGAAACAATAGAGAGAGAAACTCCATGTAATCTAACAATCTCATGAATATAAAGCTTACTCAAGGTCTCTAAAGTGTCCATGGTCTTCATACTCAAGAAATGAGCAGACTTGGTAAGTCTATCTAAAATAAACTATACAACATTATGTCCGTGGAAAACCAGACACGAAGTCCATGGTGATGTGATCCCACTTCCACTTTGGAATAGGCAAGGACTGTAATAATCTTCTGGGCTTTTGATGCTCAATCTTCACCTGCAGACACACCGCACACTTTGAAACGTACTTAGCCATGTCTTGTTTCATCCTTTTCCACCAATATTGACACTTCATGTCCCTATACATCTTGGTACTACCCGAATGTATGGAGAATTTTGAACGATGACACTCACCCAACACTTTTTCCCTTATTTGGTCATTATTTGGTACACATAGTATTCCATGAAACTGTAACTCCTCATCTTGTATCGACCAATTCTCAATAATCTCATTCCTCTCCAATCTACTTCAGATAGCTCCTAACTCGGTGTCTAATCGTTGCAATTCCACAATCTTTTGTCGAAGATTTGGTTCAGCTACAAGATTAAATAAGCATGATTGATCCCCTTGTCTATCCACTCATAGATCAAATTCCTCCAAGGCATCAATCATCTTCCACCTATTAACAACAAGAACATTGATTTCACCCCGAGACTTTCTACTCAGTGCATCTGCTGCTACATTCGCCTTCCCCAGATGGTAGTTGAGTGTAAAATCGTAATCTTCTAGATACTCAATCCATCTTCTTTGCTGAAGATTCAAGTCTTTCTGGGTGAATATATACTTGAGGCTCTTATGATCAGAAAACACTTGAAAATTTTCTCCATACAAGTAACACCTCCACAACTTAAGCGTAAAAACCACAGGGGCAAGTTTTAAGTCATGAGTGGAATAGTTCTGCTTATGAATCTTAAGTTGCTTCGAGCCATAAGCAACTACCTTACTTCTTTGCATTAGCACACATCCCAAGCCTTGTAACGATGTATCAGTGTAAACCTCGTATTCTTCCTTATTGCTCGAAATAATGAGGACATGAGCTGTTGTCAACCTTTCCTTCAAGGTGCGAAAGGCTAGTTCACACTCTTTAGTCCACAAGAATCTTTTCCCTTTTTTTGTAAGGCGAGTCATTGACATCGCTAGTTTTGAGAATCCTTCCACAAACCTCTGGTAGTAGCCTGCTAAGCCTTGGAAATTACGTATTTCGGTTACATTCTTTGGTGGTTCCTATTTCATCACTGCTTCAATCTTTGTGGGGTCAACAGCTACACCCTGTTCTGACACCACATGGCCCAAGAATTTCAATTCCTTCATCCAGAACTCGCATTTACTCATCTTAGCATACAATTTATGCCATCTCAATATCTGTAGCACAATCGAGTGATGACGTTCATGTTCCTCTTGTGTCCGTGAATAGATTAATATGTCATTAATAAACACAATGACAAACTGATCTAGGTATGACCAAAATACCCTATGCATCAAATACATGAAGGTTGTTGGAGCATTAGTCAATCCAAATGACATTACCGTATATTTGAAATGACCATACTGGGTACAGAAAGTTGTCTTAGAAATATCCTCCTCCATGATCCGCAATTGATGGTACCCTGCGTGAAGATCAATCTTGGAGTAATACTCAGAACCCCTTAGCTGATTGAATAAATCATCAATTCTCGGCAATGAATATTTATTCTTCACTGTCACATGATTCAACCTTCGGTAGTCCTTGCATAACTGAAGTGTTTCATCATACTTCTTCACAAAGAGGATCGAGGCTTCCCAACTTAAATGGATAAACCCAATAGCCAATAGTTGGTCTAACTGCTTCCTTAGCTCCTTAAACTCCAAAGGTGCCATCCTATAGGGAGTAATGGATATGGGTTCGATTCCTGTTGGAGTATAGATAGTCTAGGTTTATTAGGATTTTTTTTCCTAGGTTTATTAGGATTTCTTTTCCTAGGTTTATTAGGATTTCTTTTCCCTTTTTTACCTTTACTATGATTTTTATATTTTGCCTATATATACGGGGTTTTACTCTTAATTTGAGTATCTCCTTTTACTCACAATTATTTCAAGTTGGTATCAGAGCAAGGTTAGGGTTTGGGGTAGGGTTAGTGTATGGCTCTACCAGCCATACCGCCGAAACCACCCTGGCCATCAGCTGCCCAGCGAAACCTCTCCCCCAGGCATCTACCAGCCTGGGGCGCCTCCATCCTCACGGTCACAAGTCGGTCATCTCTCTCACCCAGATCCCAAGCTTACCCATCCCCAAAATCTGTAAAGATTCACCCAAAATACCTAAAAGTTTCAGCTCACTGCAGCTTCTGAAACTCTCCAATTCCGCCATTCGTTTCTTGAAGAAACCGAAGAAGCAATCCATTCTTGTCGCCGGCAAGGAGAATTCAATGCGATCCAACAGACCACCGGCTGGTTCAGAATCATCATTGTTAGAATCCAACGACACCCTATATTCGGATTCCGGAGTTGAAACAGCGAGTTATTTCGTCACAGATGGTGACAACGCCGCACCCTCAAAGGATACCCATAATGGTCAGCAGGTATTTGTGTCGGATGCTATAGATAGTGGTTTAGATTGCATAGAGTCAACCATTGATTGCACTTATAGATATGAGGCCGACGATATTACACATGTTCATGAACCTGTCAATTTTGGGGATTTTGATTCTGAGGGTCGTCCTAACACTAGCACTGTGAAAATGACATTGAAACTGAAAGGAGGCTACTTATCTAATTCAATAGAGTCCAGGTTACTCAAGTCCGGAATGAATTGCAGTCCTAGTGTTTGTGCCAGTGATGAATGCTTGGAGGAGTGTAAATCTGAGGAATTTGAGCCGGGTACGCAGCTTGATTTGTTGCTCAAGTTATGTTCTGAGACAGATGAGAAGGATGACAAGTCTAACATAGGCGGAGAATATGATCCGTTTGATGGTCTCATTTATTGTCCTCTCTGTGGAGTTGACATCTCGGATTTGAGTGATGAACTTCGACAGGTTCACACAAATGAATGCCTTGAGAAAGAGGAAACTCCAGATAATGCGAAGCTTCCTGATGATGACGTACGACCTCGATGCCCTGGTCAAGTGCTTGATGGTTCTCCTGTTCGGTCTCCTCGGCAAGCTGTTGATGTCTCCCCTGTTCTAGGATGGCTGGACACTCTCGGCCTAGCTAAATATGATGAAGTTTTTGTCCGTGAAGAGATTGATTGGGACACTTTGCAGTGGCTGACAGAAGATGATCTTATGGACAAGTTTGCTATTGGAGTTTCCATGGTTACTGCCCTGTCACTGGCCATCTCGTATCCAACACTTGCAGCAACCTCAATCCATTCTCCATATAATAATAATAATAGATTCAACCCAATAAACCCAATAAAACCACTCCTACTGCTAGATCATTGTCCAGCCCACTGCTGGGTCACAACTTTCGTTGTGATTTTATTCTAGGACTTTTTTGGGAAGGAGCGGATCCTCTTTTCTGTTGATCTGCCCTTGATGCAGTAGATCACTTATTTATATATTTTGGATTTCTGGGCACCGTGACTTGATTATTTGGGAGCTTTTTGGACCTTCCCTATTTGTCGCTACTGTTCGACTGAAGGTATATTGTTCTCCCTTATTTTATTCCTCTATTTATCTTAGAGTTATTTTTCTGTCACGGGTGCCCTAGTATTGTTGTTGATATGGCTACTACTGAGGGACTTGAGAACCCTACTGTTGACACCTCTATTTCTTCAGACGAATCTAGATTTTAATATAATCTAGGTTCTTGGAACGAGATCTCAACGGGTCTAGTTGCATTACCAGCATTACCGGGCATGATCTCTCAAAAAGTTACGGCACAATTGTTGAATGGTCGTAACTTCGCTGAGTGGTCACGCTCATTCCAGCTTTTCTTAGGCCGTGTA